TCTATTCATCATGTGTTGCTCTTTTTCGTTTATACAGACAGGGGTGTTGAGCAAGCCTTTGGTCCTCATTTTTTGGGGTGGGGTCCTAAGTTCTTTACGAATTGAATAAGCTCTCTTTCAAAATCAGGACCCTCTCGGTCTTAGGTTGCCGAAGACCCTGCTAGATGAGATCCCCCATTTTTGCAATTAAACGCAAGTATGATCTTGGTATGATTGCAGCTTTTTCCTCCATGCAGGATTCCTCATCGCGTGACATATTCTAAACGCCTACCCCAAACTAAAACACTGGACCCTTCTGAATCCCAAAGTAGAAACCTTATATAACCCCTCTTTCCCACTTCATGTCCATTGTCTGTTCCAGTTGATTCCACCTTATGACACCAGAAACCCCTAAGACTCCTCAAGCCCTAAACCTTCAACCCCTAGACCCCGATCCCGGCCCTAAACCCGAAATCCCGAATCCCTAAACCCCAACGCCCTAAACGCAATAAACCTAGTGGGAGAAGTCATACCTAGGGTGGGAATCCAGGTTACTAAGTAAGTTCCATGGACTCCGCATAGCCCCTAAACCCCAATCGTTAAACCCCTAACCCAAGACGCCTACAACTTGAATCCCTAACCTCGGAACCCTGAACCCTAACCCCAAAATACCTTAAACCCTGGACCCTAAACCCAAAACACCCAAGCCCTAAACCCCAAACACCCAAACCCTAAACCCCAAACACCCAAACGCTAAACCCTAAGCCCCAAAAAACCTAAACCTAAACCTCAAAGCTCTGGGACAAGGCGAATTTCTGCCGCGAGCTCCGCAGGTGTCACACCGCCGAGGCTGGCTAAGCTCTTAACGTTTCTGCTTCGACATTCAGGAGTTTAGTGTTTTAGAGTTCAGGGTTTTTGGGGTGTAGCGTTTTAAGGTTTTAGGGTTGCGGGATTCGGGCTTCAGGGTTTAGGCGTTTAGGCGTTTGTAGCTGTGGATCCGTTGTGCCTTTACCTCACCGTGTTTGAGGGTCTCCTGAGGTCCGGCTCATGTGGACCTCCGTGCCGTCACTAAAAAGCCATCCTCAGCGGGTCCAAGTAACCAATAATTAGGTTCTTGGGCAACAACAATTACAACACAGGTTCTGGGTCAGTATAGGACTGTTAGGTACTTGGACCCTTAGGGTCCGTAGCTCAGCATAAAAGGAGGAATTTGAGGGAAAGCCAGGACCTGCAGTACAACGACTTATCCTCCCGGGGGCTTGAGCTACTCACCGGAGAACACAAGGATCAGTTTCAGCAATATATACTTGACAATGCAGGTAGCTACTAACCGCAATCACTTTACATACTTTTGGGGTCCTAAACCCAAAACCCTAAACCCAATATAACCCCTAAATCTAGTAGTTGGAGCGCGGCGGATTCCCGCCCGTATGGTAAAATCGTGGAAAAAAGA